CAGGTTCTAGCTGGGGCTGACAGGACATTAAGTATTGGATACTTAGTGCCCATGTCTCCCGGTCCCATTCACTGCCTCTGCATCATGGCTCATAAGGCAAGTAGGTAACAGACCTCATCACACCAACCCTGGGCTTTCTGTGGTAGGTGCCACTAAGTGTCCCTGGACACCATGCCCTGGGGCCAGTGCTGCAGAAGCACCTATGCTCAGCACATTGATCCCTGTGAGCAGTAGCATGGCATGCAGCCTGACCGGCATCCGAGCAACTGGGACTATTGGACCAGCCAGTGCTTGGGAAACAGTGGGAAAGCTTGTGCAGAGGCTGACCTAACCCTGGCTTCCTTCTGCACGGTGGGCATGGCCACTCAGTGCTCATCACTCGGTGCTGGGAGCTCCCTTAACCCCAGGAGACCAGGATGTTCAGAAGACCCAGCCTGTTCACCCTTGACATGGAGCCTCGGCAGCCACAGCAAAGGAATCCCTAGGGAGGCAGAGAAAGCCTAGCTGGCCGGGCAGTGTCGATGCACACCTTTAATCCCAGCAGGAGGTAGAGACACAGGTGGATCTCTGTGAGTTCAAGGCCAATCTGGTCTATGAGAGCTAGTTCCAGGACTGTTACACAGAGAAACCCTGTCTTAATAAAAAAGAAAAAAAGGAAAGGAAAGGAAAGGAAAGGAAAGGAAAGGAAAGGAAAGGAAAGGAAAGGAAAGGAAGGAAAGAAGGAAGGGTGAGTGGGCAGAGTTGCTGCCCATCCTAACTGGAAACCCCTAAGCAGCGAGCCTTCCTCCCCCTCCCAGCTGGAAGCAGAGTGATGCAGCAGAAGTGGGGTGCAGCGTGGGATGGCTGGCATGGGTGCACACACGTTAGGTGCCAGCCTCCTTACAAGGCTCTCAGCTTTTAACCTAAGCCGCAGCTCGAGTACATTCAGCACAGTGTGCATTGTTAGAGGCGAGGGCTTCCACTTCCACAGCGGGGGGAGCACAGCAGGCCACCCTGGTGGGTAGGAAGTGAGGTCACCTACCGTTCTGGAGCAGCCAGGCAGTGGGGACTATCTGCAGGGCAGTCTGCGCTCTGTGGCAAAACCTGGTTCCACTTGCTCCGAAGTAGGAACAGCCTTCACAGGAGGGTCATCAACTCAGACCTGCTTTGATTTGGTTGGTTTGAGTGGCACTGGGGACTGAACCCAGGTCCTCACACACGCTAGGCAAATGCTCTACCACAGAGTTGTCTCTATGTCCAGGACTTTCCAAGTTCTTATCTCCACACAGGGTGTCAGAAAGTTGCTCAGGCTAGCTGTAAACTCACTCTATAGTCCAGGTTGGCCTTAAACCTACTGTTCTCCTGACTCAGCCATCCAGGTAACTGGGATCCCAGATCTACTGTACATCAAGGCTCAGCCTCAGACCCACTTTTGACGGGCAGACTCCATGACAGCCAGCTAGATTCAAGGCAGACATTCCTTGAGGGGCTGGGGCAATTCTAGTCTCCCTGTTGGCAATCAGAGATGACTATCAGAGATGACACCCTTTTTCTTGAACACCCAAGTGACTCAGCCCAGCCCTGGCAATGGCGCAGCCACATCTGCCTCCCTGGTTGGGCAGCACACAGGGTTCCCTGGATGAGCAGCCCTTCTGCCTTGCCAGCACCTGCCGGCCACAGCACACACCTCAGTGCCTCTGTCTCCTTCCCGCCTCTGTGGGCCCCTGGGAAGAAAGCAGGTTGAACCCTGAAACTGCCACCCCACAGGATCCTGGCAAATGGCAGGGCCCTGGGGGTTGCCAAGGAAACCACATGATTCTCTGCCCACTCACTGCCTGCCTGGCCTATCTTTTCCCTTCTTACAGTGAGAAGCGCCACCTTCAAGTGAACGTCACCAACCCAGTGCAGTGCAGCCTGCATGGGAAGAAATGCACCGTCTCTGTGGAGACACGGCTTAATCAGCCGCAGCCTGACTTCACCAAGAACCGCTCTGGCTTCATCCTCAGTGTGCCAGGGAACTGACTGCTGCACGTCGGAGGCCTGGCCCGGGGAGCAAGAGCTTGAGCCTGGCACAAGGCTGGCCGGGCCCTTAGCCTCTCCATCCCTACACACGTTCCACCTGGCTCAGCATCCCAGGAGCCCGCTAATTGCTGTACACCCTCTAATCCCACTAGAAATCAGCGTGCAAGGGCCGCCCTGGACAGGGCTCCTCTGCCTTCTCCAAGGCCCTGCTCATGAAGTGTCCTGACTTTCTGCCCCTGCCCCTGCCTCTCATCTCTCAACTCTGCATAGTCCCTGCTCAGGAAACCAAAGACCCTTTGCAGCCTCCTGGGCTGACAGCTAGACCACTTCTCACCCCACAAGCAACTGGATAGTACCTGTAATTGGCAAAGGGCCAGTGACCACTGCTGACCCAGCAGAGAGGGATGGGTGGCCCAGAGCACAGGACAGTTTCTCCAGCCAGAGACGTTCTCTTAGAGGTTTGGATCCAGTGTCCATGTGCAGGGGACTAGCCCTGCTGTGACCCCCACACCTGATGCCTTCCTTCCCCCCGTGATAGCAGCCCTTGGACCTAGCTCAGAGCCCCTTAGCACAAGCCTTACCGCTAGCAGCCAGCCAAAGGCAGCAGGTAAACAGGTTTGCCTGTGAAGCCCATCCCTCAGCCATGTTCAGTCAGAGGTTCCTCCTTCCAGAGCTGACCCTGGAAGATCTTTTGCCACCAAGGTCCCAGGGCCTGGACTTTCTGACCACTTCTCCCGTAGAGACACCCTGCTGCTACTCAAGGACCTGTTATCATAACTCTTCTCTTTGCAGACTGCCAGGTTTGTAACCAGATGTCCCCTGCTGTAACCGCACTGTCAGTATCTAGTAGGGAGCAAGGAGAGCCCTTCCCCCGACTCCTCCAGCTGAGCCTCCTCCTCCCTGGAGAACTGGGACTCGTGGGGAGCCACTGCACACAGCTGTGAGAGCTGGGTCAAAGCTGCAGCAAAGAGCATGGAGTCCTGGCACTGCTGGCCAGGCCAGGGTGCCCACCCATGCCACATACCTGCCTGCTGGAGCCTGGCCCCTGTGCCCGCTGATGGGAAAGAGCTGACAGTTTGCCAGTGTCTGCCAAGCGAAAAGCTTGCCTGTTTCAGATCCTTCCTGAGACCCCTGCCCCCCCCCCCCTCAGCTGCTGAGGATAAGGCCGCCTGTAGGCATTGCAGGCTGCTGTGAGCGCCTGCCACGGAAGGCTGGGAGCAGACAACAGCAGGCGCAGCAGGACTTAAAGCCAGGAGCACATTTTCTTCACTTTCCCCCAGGTTCTGCCCCCTAATCCTCACCTTGCCACCCTAACCCACCAAGTGCCTGTGTGCCACCTCCTGTGCCTTGCCCAGGGCCTGAGGGAGTCACCTGGCTGACTGACCAAGGTGGTTAGCCACCTGGTCTCATAACCCCTTTTGCAGAGGTGCGGGGCCTTTTCCACTGCAGGCCGTTTGTAACAGAGAGCCCTGCTGCCGTCTGCCCTTGGGAGCCTTTCTCATCCTCCAGGCCTGGTCAGCTGCCTGTGCAGAGCGGAGGTGCCACCAGCCCGGTTTTGCCAATTGCCAGCGGACACTGACGGACCATCTGACTGGAACTTCACCTTCCCTTCCCACCGCCCCCGGCGTGTTGCTCTACACTAGACATGCTCGTGTGTTCATGCACACCAAAGCAGGTCATGCCAAACAAGTCACAGATCGGAGGCTGGGCGTGGGGGCTCTTCTCTCCCCTCGACATAGCCTGGGACCCCTGACCCAGGCCAGAACCTCCCACCAAGGAACTGCCCTGCCCACAAGCACTTTCTTATGATCAGTGTGCGGCCACTGAAGGACCTGGAATTTCGGGTGTGAATGATAACAGTAAGAAGGGACAGGACACAGTGATTGTATGCACGGAGTGGGGTCTCTCAATTATATGAAATGCAGTCTATGGTTTGGTGCGTATATTCCTATTTTCCATTAAATTAACTTTATTTCTAAAGCATATTTTGATTTACCATAAAGAGCAATAAAGCATTAAATCTTATTTTTAAAGGCATTCTGCTTATCATTTAAAAATAGTGAAATTTTAGATTATATAGTCAACTGCCATCTCAGAAGGTAGAATCAAGCACAAACTATGTAAAATGGGGGATAATTTGCCCAAGGCTTTTGAACAGAAAATTTAGGGAGAAGCAAGCTGTGTGAGAGAAGAGGCAAGAGGCAACCTTGGAATTCATTCCAGGCACACTCTTCCACCATTCTGAAGCTGCGGACTACAATCCTAAGGGAACGTGTTTCTGAAATAAACGCATGTCCACACAAAAGATGGCACGAATTCCTGCAGCAGCTCATGGGAACAGGAGCCTCGGGTCAGGTGGAGGCCCCAGGACACCCTAGCGCCCAGGAGCTCAGCCCTGCAGGGTCTTGCAGTCACTGGCAGACTGCCAGGGCTATGGGCTCCCAGTAGTGGGTGCAGGGACGGCAGAGAACAGGCCCTGGCTTCCCTCTTCCTGAGGCTGAAAGGCAGACAGGACACAGAAGCTGAGGCAGGGGCACAACTGGGAGACCCAGGACCAGATTCCTCTGAAGCTAAACTGTTGGGTCACCAGGACTCCTGTCCACCCCTGCTGACTTTTGGACAGTGGACACTGAGCAAGGTGGGCCTAGGGGAAGATGGGAGCAGCAGCCTTGGCACCAAGACTCAACATACAGTCTAAGTCCAGATGCCTAAGCAGGACTGAGGTGGCCAACACTGACCGGGCCATGCCTAAACGTGGCTGGCCTTCTGTGGCTTGGGCTGCCTGCCATGTGACCCCACAAAGGAAGCCCCCAGGAAGAACCTGCCCAGCACCTAAGCCAATGCTGGCTTGCCCCAGTGCTGCTTTCTAAATCGCGGAAATCTGCTCCCTCCCTCTCCCTAACTGTCCCCTCTGCCTGCACAAACCTGTACATACACAGCCATGCACTAAAGGTGCCCCTAACAAGCGCCCAGATGGCGGGTCCACAAAGAGACGGGTGTAATGGATGGTCAGTGCATTTTATTTGAATCAGCACAGTACAAAAATAAATAAAAATAAGGGAAGGGGAATTAAATTACAGCCAAACTGAGCTTCATGACTCTTGTCAGATTATAAACCACACATACTCAAAACACGCTACACATACATACAGAATGAGACAAATATAAATTAACAGTGTCCACAGTTTGGTCAAAAAAATAGCTACAGAGAAATTTCACTAAAAAAAAAAAAACCATACATCACGTGTGTGTAATTAGCAGTATCAGATGTACAGCTATGGATAATTCTAGGACGGGATGGCACGTGTTCTCTTCATTGCAGGTCCAACACTGCTGGAAGAAAACTAAATTCTAATAACTGCATGGAAAGAATATATCAGCCCCGCAGGGCTGTAAGGAAAAGAGAAGAATCCAGTCCTGAACTCGGCTTCTGTGGCTTGTCCTCTGCTCGGCGTGATTCCCACAGCCATCTGTTCTAAGGTTATTTTTCTTAAGACACAGAGCGCTCCTGGTCTGCATGCACGGAACCACTGTAAAAGCGACGAAGAATAAAGGGAATTTTTTGTAGATTTTTTTCACATTTTCCTTTTTTTTTTTCTTTTCTATTTTGCTGTGTTTGTTCTAAAAGTATCTTCATAGCAGCATGTCAGATGGGTTCATTGCTCGAACACTCAAGTCTATCAGTTGTTCCTTTACACAGTACTGATGGCCAGTGCAAGGGGGAACACACGGGCTTCACAATCAACTAGGGAGTTCTTTCCTTAGTCGCCAACCACTTCTGAAATATGCACCTCCTCAAAAATTTTAAAAAAAAAAAACTTTTTTTTTAAAGTACAAAGAGAAGATAACAGTCAATAGAGCTGGAATCTGTGATTGCAGCTCAGTGAACAGCTCCAGACCGGCGTCAGCAGTTGGGCTACAAACATGCACCCCCTCCTCCTTAGACTGGACACCTGAAGCTCCTCTTCCACTACACCAGGGGCCAACTGCGCAAAGTTGCTCTCCACACAGGTCACCGTGGCAGCGGAATCTGAAGACAGATCACGCGTGAAGTCAGACCAGAGAGGCTGCAGCTAGGCTCGGGCTCAGCAAGCCTTGCAGGGCTCCCCAGCTCCTTGGCAGATCATGAGGGCCCAAGATTCGCTCTCTAGGAATCTGGCTGAGGGACTGGAAAAAGGCTCTCTAGTCCCAGTGGGTCAGGTCCTCTTCCCCACCTCTGTGAACTGGTTGGCTGAAAGGCTCTGCTCCAGGCCTCTTTAGGGGAGACCTCCGTTTCACAGCTTTCTCTTTGTGACTTTTCAGTAGCGCTGGTGTGGAAGTTGGCAGCCACCTAGAACCTAATCCTACATAAGATAACCTCTGCCTTCCCCACTATAGCCCCCACGCCCATTCCTGGGGAGCAGGACAGGGAAGAGGAGACTCCCCGCTAGCATCTTCACATTGCTCTTTGTTCCCCAAAGCTGGAGAGAGGGCCACGCAGGAAGGCTCGCTCCCTTCTCTTGGACCGCTTCCAAACCCCCAAGCCACCAGTCTGGGAAAATTAGAAAGAAAAACCAGTAAAGTCCACAGCGTGTGTTTTGCAGCTGCCAGGGATAGGTGGGTACCACACCCGAGCAGCTGGAAGTGTTCTGCTGGACAGTCACCAAGCTTCCCGAGCAGTCAGGAGTCACAGGCGAATCTTGCAATTGTCTCCAGAACGCAGCTGTCTCACTAGGTTGCACAGAGCGAAGCTTCATCTCTGGGAGAAACCGAACTGCCTGGAGACAGCTTTAAGCTACCAAGGGGTAGGGGTGGGAGACACCATTGCCACGGTAACCCCTGCCAACTGATCTCACCTTACCCCAGCTTTGTAGGACAAATATGTTCACCAGCAAGAGGCCGTGGCACTTAAGTGGGCAGGCATCAACCTGATCTCAGGCATGGATGCCCACATGCCCAGAAGGCAACGTTGCTCATGGGTACCTGCCACTGTCCTGGCTTTCGCACAGAATGACTGAGCTGCGTTAGTCAAATGAAAAACTCACTCAGAAAAGGGGCTGCCCCTAGCTTCACCTCACCCCCTTAGCTGGGACCCAAAATGAGAGAGGAATCTACTAAGCAAACCACCTCATTTACCGACACTAAGGTGGGAGCCGGGAGCATAGACAAAAGGACAGGGCAGGGAGCTCCATCCATCCTGCCAGCAAAGAAAAGCCCTTCGCCCAAAAGCAAAGCAGCAAAACAGGGCCGAGCACGGTCAACAGTCATGGACCATCTTTGCAACAGACCCACTTCCAGGCTCCTGTGCTGAGGGCCCAGGGCAGTGCAGAGCTCGCCTCACTGAGAACCTCCTGGAACCTGAGTCAGGGCAGCTGGCTCCAGGAGCCTTTGGGAGAATGAAACAGTCGCCAGAAAAGGGCCACTTCCTCCTGGGCCACAGCTCCCATCATGGGACAGTGGGAAAGCCTCATCTACTCTGGACCCCGCATGGGTACAGGCGACACGGGCAAGTCAGTCCCTTGAGTCCCCAGAGAGAGCGCTCAGCAGCCTAGGTGGCTTTAAATGCATCTTCTGGGTTTGCACAAGGTTCATGAGTTCGAAAGTCCCCAGAGTTCTCGAAAGGTCTGGGGAAGAAAAAAAAAGAAAAAAAAAAAAAAACCCAAGGAGAGAACATGGGAAGAGGCCCTTGGTGGCTTTGCTAGACACATACTGTACACAAATTGATTCGTTTAGTAATAAATTTTTAAAAACGAATGGAATCCTTGAGCCGGGATACCGGCCACAGGGGCTCACCGATCGAGCCCCAGGAGGAGCCGCTTCTTGTCCTCCTGGCCACTCTCATTCTTCAAGTCGGAGAACACCTGTGTGAAGTAGTGCGGGTCGGCATTGATCTGCAGCATCTTGGAGCTCATGAGGTTGATAACTGAGAGGCAACGGTCCCAAAAGGCTTCCTTGCAGCTCTCCACTAGGAAGGGCTTGAGCGGGTAGGAGATTTCATTGCCCATGTAGGAATAGGAGAGGTACAGGCAGGTCAGCAGGACAGCCTGGAGCTCGTGGTCCGAGCCCACCTCGGAGGAGATAACATCCCTGCAGAGCATGTAGAGGAAGACCACGTTAGCCGGGGTGATGAAACCCTGGTCCTGCCAGCCCTGCAGAAGCAGCGAGCGGTCCACGCTGCGCAGCCAGAGCACGGGGTCCGTGGGGGACAAGTGCTTCAGGCGGTAGCACCGGCGGCAGAGAAACTCGCCCAGGCAGCGTAGCAGCTCACTAGTGGAGGCCTGGACGATGACCCGTTTGGGTGTCCCTGCAGAGGTGATGGCAGGGTGCGGGGCCTTCTTGACAGAAGAGGAGACCCCAGTCTGGGAGCCCGAAAGCTGGCTGGCTGGGGGTGCGGGCGGCTGGGCCGGCGGGGGCTGGGCGAACGTGGACAGGTTGGCGCACGACAGCGACTTCTTCAGGTTCTCATTGTTGAGGTGCGCGATGTTGCTCTGGTAGCTGCTGTTGGGCTGCGCCTTCTTGGAGTTCTTCTTCTTGGCTGACACTGCCACGATCCTCTTCCAAGGCAGCACCGAGATGATGGAGTGCCGCTTCAGGTTCTTGTCCTTGGCGTTCTTGCTGTTCTGCACGGCCGTGTAGTGGCCCACCGTGGCCGCGCCATCCTCAAACAGCGTGGCCTTCCGATAGCTGGGGGACAGGGACAGCACTGTGCCCATGGTGCCACTGCGCGCCCGGCGGGGGCCGGCGCCCCTGCGCGCCCAGCCTGCCGGCCTAAGGGAAGAGACGCCTTACCGAGCCTGAAGCGGCCGCAGGGAGAAAGGAGGCGCTCCCGGGACGCGACGCGTGTAGCCCTGCGGATCTGCGTGGAAAACAAGATGGTTCTCAGCCCCGGGCGGGGCTCAGCGCCGCGCCCCTCCGCCCGCACCTCCGAGGCCCGAACCCCCGGGCCGCGGCCCCGCCGAGCCCCAGCCCGCGCTTCCACTGCGGCACCGGCCGAGCGCCGCAGCGGCCACCGCCGCAGGACTCCGACCCGGCCGCGCGCACGGCCCCGGTCCGCGCAGGCTTACCCGCAGGCAGGCTCCCGCGGCAGGCGCAGCCGCTGCGTCCCAGGCCCTCCGCAATGCGCGCCGCGGCCCCGGGGCTCGGCGCGGCTCGGCGCGGCGGCGGCTCGCAGCTTCTGTCCAAGGTTCTGCAGACGCCGCGGCCCCGCCCCCGCCCGGCCCCCGCCCGCGTCTCCGCCGCGCGCTCGCCCGCCCCGCCCCGCCCTGGCGCGCGCCTCGCAGGCTGCCTCTCCGGGTCGCGCGCGCCGCCGCACTCCGGTTCGGTCTCGCCGCCAGGTCGCGGCCACTCGAGTCCTCGGCTCGAGCGGCGCACGGTGGCGCCTCTAGTGGGCGCGTTCCATGCGGGCGGCGGGAACGCGCGGCGCCGGGTCCCCGCTTCGAAGCCGCCCGCGCCGCACGGCGCAGCCCGGCTTCGTGAGTCCCGGCGCCGCGCAGAGGAGCTCGCCGGGCGGACGGACGGGCGGGCGGGGCGAAGGGCGGACCCCGCCCAGACACGTGCTGCCTTTGTTCCCGCCGCGGCCCCCGCAGCTGAGGCCGCGAGCCTTGTGAAGAGTGGCCCGGCGCCGGGCAAGGGAGAGCCGCGTGCATCCCCACGTCGGCGTAAAAGCCCGCTGTCCTCTAAGGCTCAGAACCTCGGGCCAGCCTCTGATTTGCCCGTTTTGAAGCTTGATGGCAGTAAAATTGCGAAATATTCTGGTTCTGATCATCGACGCACTGCTCCCAAACACTCCATATCCTTCACAAAGGCGACTGCCGGTTTACTAGCCATTCATTTTGGACTGATTCTGGAGACTCAAACTGGCAAGCAAGCCACAAACCGTCTCTTAACTCGGACCTAGAGAATTCCTGACAACACCTGCAACAGCTGAGCCAACTACCCCAAACAGGAATCTTGTTGAGTCATTAGGCACAGTACTTCCATGTTAGAAAGCGCCAGTTTATGTACCCAGAGAGTTCTCTGCCAACAGGAGCGGAAAAGTTTAGGGGCCTTGGCGACCAGAATAGAAAATGCACTGAACTGTACCAAAAAAAAAAAAAAAAAAAACCTTTTCCAGGACCTGTCAAACACCCAGGAAGGCTAGCTTAGCTTGTGTACCTTTCATCACAACGTTTCTCGATGAACAGAATCTTAGCCGGTATTCTATTGCTAGAACACAACACCCAACACTGGATAATCTATAATGTGGCGCGGGGCGGTGGTGACACACGCCTTTAATCCCAGCACTAGGGAGATAGAGACAGGCGGGATTTCTGTGAGTTTGAGGCCAGCCTGGTTTACTGAGCGAGTTACAGGTCAGGCTCCAAAACTACAGAGAAACCCTGTCTCGAAAAACAAAAGCAAAACAAAATTAATGTGTTAACTCACAATTCTGTAGTCCGGTCCAGAACCAGAGGTAGAACTTTCCTTGACGAGAGCTTTGAGGCTTCAACTCACATGGGCAAGGGGGAGAGCTAACAAGTACTTGTGGGATTGATGGCAGGTGCCATCAATTGGTTATCTAACAACTCACACTAGCAGGAGCTTACTTAACCCCTTCATGCATCGAAGCGACGCTGACTTAAAACCTTTCCTTGTAGCACAAGCCAGCCAGCGACTGGCAGTCTTCCTGCTTGTGTTAACTGCTGGAACTGAGGCATGAGCCACACCAGCTCTGAAGACCCGGCTCAACACTGACACCGAGATCAAGTCTCATGGCTCAGACTGTCAACAATCCTAACTGCTCTTGAAAATCAGGAGTTGCCCTGGCCCTTCATTGTCAAGAGGGTTTAAGTCATCTGCCCATGGTCTTTCAGCCCCCCTGACCCAATGCCTCTTCCTAGAAAGGAAACCCTGAAAGTCAGCCTCTGTTCCTCCAGCCCCAGGGGGAGAGACCCAGCTTCTCAGCTGGCTTCATTGTTTATGTTCTTTCAAATTATAGGATTGAGCAGAAGTTAAATGTGTTCTACTTCCCTAAATAGACACACATCTCTGAAGGCTGCAATCCACCCATCAGAAAAACCTGGGCCTGCTATTGCCTGCAACCGAATTCCAGCTCTTACAGTTGATCCTGGAGTTGATGGGCCTTTTCCAGCATGGATGTACGCATGTTCTCTCTTGTCTTCAGCCAGTCCTTCAAACCCTCTGTGTGAACTACTCCAGCCTCCTCACATTGCCAGGGGCAAAGTCATGTTGGTAGCAGAACAGAATAGGACAATTCTATCAACCTCCAGGCTGAGGGTCAAGGTTGTTAGGCGCCCTACCACCTAGGTAATACCTGAGAAGCTCTTCAAAGTCTATCAGTCAGGGTTCCGGAGGGTAACAGAACTCCCAACAATGGCCAGCTATTGGACAGAAAGTCCAAGAATCCAGAAGCTGCTTAGTTCAAGAGGCTAGATGTCTCAGCTGATCTTCAGCAGAGGCAGGAATCCTGAAGTAGGCCCTAATGCCAGTGAAGGAATGGCCTTGCTAGCAAGGACAGAGCAAGCAGGCAAAAAGCAAAAGCTTCCTTCTTCCACTCCAGCAGTAGGTGTGTCCCTCCTCCTGAGACCCAGATTACAGGCGTGTATCTTCACACCTCAAGACCCAGACAAAAAGTGGATCTTTCTACATCAAATTGAAGCAAAATGGTGTGCGTTCCAGATTTGCACTTTCGTTAAATCCAGATGTAGTCAACCTTGAATAGCCTTCACACGGGGCACCAGTCAAGTCCACCTCTGCCTTCCCCCACCCAGCTCCCTCACTGTTCCAACAGGGAAGCAAGGAAGAAAGGGCAACAATCTGCCCAACATGGTAGAATCTAGAACCCAGAAGGCAGAGCCAGCTGAATGCTGCAGGATGTTTTCCTCCCAGTATTCAGATAGCTCAGGGAAGATGTCTAGTTTTCACTATCAACCAGCCTACTTTCCCCAAAGCCTATCTAGCTACCTTGCAAGGTGGGATGCCCATGCAATAGCTCAGTAGAGATCTGTTGTACACTTACCATTTCTCATACTGGCCCAAGAACAGAAGGCCAAAGGAGCAACTAGCTACATGGTACAGAAAGGATTCCAACCAAGAGCTTCAGAATGCTGGTTCTTGAGGAAGTCTTCCTGTGAGGGCATAGAGCAGCATCTAGTGGCTCTTCTGAGCAACACAGATGATGTAACCAGCACACAGCAGGGCACAGAGCAGCCCTCTTGGCTGTTCTAGTCAAAGCAGTCTCATTAATGCACAACAAAGTCCCAATACATTGAAGGCGAGTGCCTAAAAAGAGCCCTCAGCTAGACAGCCCAGAACGAGGCCAACCAATGGCCAGACCTTGGGAGTGGGGAGGAAGCTCGGCTAGATATGTGAGACCCGGAAGGAGAAACCGTGGCACATCCCATGACGGTCTAGTGCAGCACAGTCCAACAGAGGTTACCTGAGAGCCGTATTAACCAGCCACATGGGTAATGCACTATTTCCTAGGAACATTAATAAAGAACAGTTGGGTGGTGGTGGTGCACACCTTCAATCCCAGGAGGCAGAAGCAGATGGATCTGAGTTCGAAGTCAGCCTGGTCTATAGAGCTAGTTCCAGGACAGTTAGAAACCCTATCTTGAAAAACCAAAACAAACAAACAAAAAAAAAACGGGAATTTTAATAACGTATATTTTATTTAACCCAATATGCCCCAAATATTCCAGTGCATATATAAAAATTAGTAAGCTGCTTAACACTTCTTTCACACCAAGCCTGTAAAGGGTAGTCTGTGGTTAGCCTGAACTAGCCTCACTTCAAGGCCTGATGTCGACACGTGGCTAGCAGCTCTGCCTGACTATACTTCTTGCATCATCACGCTAAGGGCTACTGTTCTTAGGTGCTTAGGGTTTAGGTCTAAGAGATCCTCCTTACCCTGCTCCACATCACATCGCTATGCAGAGTTTTAAAGTCCACAATACGTTTATTCCTGTCTAGTTCAGTCATTAGCCTGTGACATAAGGATTTCTTTATTTACAAGCTCAAGAAATTTTATTATACTATCTGGATACACCATTCTCTGAGCTTAGGACATAAACTGAAAGAAAGAAACACATGAAGTGCCGGGCGGTGGTGGCGCACGCCTTTAATCCCAGCACTCGGGAGGCAGAGGTAGGCGGATCTCTGGGAGTTCGAGACCAGCCTGGTCTACAAGAGCTAGTTCCAGGACAGGCTCCAAAACCACAGAGAAACCCTGTCTCAAAAAACAAAAAACAAAAAAACAAAAAAACAAAAAAAAAAAGATTCCAAAGTCGGGGGCTGGAGAGATGGCTCAGAGGTTAAGAGCATTGCCTGCTCTTCCAAAGGTCCTGAGTTCAATTCCCAGCAACCACATGGTGGCTTACAGCCATCTGTAATGAGATCTGGTGCCCTCTTCTGGCCTGCAAACATACACACAGACAGAATATTGTATACATAATAAATATTTAAAAAAAAAAAAAAAAAGAAGATTCCAAAGTCACTAAAGTGAGACTGGCCACGGAGACACTGGCTCCTGCACTACTTCATCATAACCTAGCATCCTATTGCCTCCCATGGACAAGGAGATAAGGAGACAGGCTTGGTGACTACTGTCCAAGCCCACATGTCCTCGCTGGTCCTCCTGCCCCAAAAGAAACCTGAGCTCCATTTTTGACTTCACTCCTTACAGGTCAGCTTTCCTGCCAAGGTCTCCAAATATGGACTCCCAGCAAGGCTATAAGACTACCATTAGGCAATGAAGTGACAGAGCTCTGGCCAAGCCACAAGGGGATACATGGAACACTTGAACTTTCTTGGAAACCCACCAGCACTCAAGAAAAGACACCTTTTGAAAAAAAAAATTATTTTATTGGAACTCATCTGAACATCAGATATACCTGGTGTTGGTTAGCAAGAACCGTTTGTACATTTGATATTGATGGTGCCAAAACCAAAACAGTGACTGGACATGATGGGGAGAAGGTGGCTGAGAACAAAACCTGATTTTGAGAGGAAAATGAAAGCCAGTCAGATTTAGTGGAGATGCAAAACCTGGTACAACAAAACCCTTTTACAAAATAGAAATCTATTACCAAAACCTGGAAGGACAGTCTGAGAAAAGGAGGCCAGCAGGACGGAGTCAGGGGAGGAGAGGACACAGTACGGTGGGGACAGCAAAGGTGCAGGCATTCACCTGCCCAAATGGCATCAAAGCCTGCTAAGGAACTGCATCGGAAACAAAGCATGCTAAAACAGCGCCACCCCGTCAGCTCACACTCTTAAGAGGCAGAGGAAGACAGTCTGGGAAGGGGGCATGAGGGTGCTTCAAACCCAACAAAGTTTTGGTTTGGTTTTTTTTTTTTTTTTTTTTGTAATTTAAGTTAAAACCACCCAGCCTCATTCCCCATGTTACTGTTTTGAAAAGGGATAGTTCCATCTGACAGCAGGAGAGACGGGTAGAGAGGGAAAGCAGCAGATGGAGTCAGACAACCCAACTCCTCTAGAGGGAAAGAGAAAGGACATGGTCTCCCGGCTGAAAGCAAATAGAGGAGAGGAAAGCAAAGAGGGGAGGAGGGGTGGTTAAAACACTGCCCTCTAATCTAGTTACTGTGTTAAAGAAAGCCATGTGCACAGCAGGCACCCTGAGGGCTGAGGCCCACACTGCGCCCGCCCATGTGGCCATAGTGGACACTAGCTCCTGGACTTGTTCCCATTCTTTCACAGGTCAGAGCAGAGCCGTATTGCAGTGGCTCCACAGCCGGCCTTTCAGGTAGTCTGCTGGAGCCAAAGTCAGAGAGGGAAGGGAGAGCACACCAACGCCTCGTTTCAAATAAAAAAGAAAACAGCAGTCTATACACAGTTGTTTGTTTTGGTTCAGTACAAACAGAATAAAAAGTCGTTGCTTTTGATGGTCAGCAAACACCCAATTCTGAAGAGGAGGAGAGGTGGCGCCCAGCAGGTGGATGAGGATCCCCAGTGGTTGGCGGGGTGCCTGGCTTTGCGGCCCTCTCCCAGGAGGCAGAGAGCACAGCTTTAGGTAGTGTAAGCCTTTTTCCTTTTATTTAGAATCTTTTTTTTCTTTTTTCTTTTTTTTTAAGCAATTTCCCCACTCCCATGTTGGCCAGTGCTGATTACATGAGAACTGGCCGCCTATCGCTGGATACAGATGCACCAATGAGGGTTAAAAACTTTCCGAGCGAAAAGTAGAACAGAAAGAAAAGAATCTCCTAGCATTTCCCCAAGGGTTCACTCTCCCGCCACACACACTCTCCAAAGAACCGCTACAGATCCAACTCTGCAAGAGAAGACAGAGCAGTGTCAATCGGGGAAGCCGTGAGGACCAGAAGGTGTTCAGTGTCGCAGGCAGAAGACAGTGCTGCCCGGCCCTGGGTCCCGGGGCAGGCACTCACCTATGTCAGCTTCTTGGCTTTGTTGTAGAGGGAGTCCACTACTTTACTCATGTTCTGAATTGTTTCCAGAGCAGCTTCATAAGTTTTATCTACTGGGGGTTCATCGAAAATGATCAGGACACCCTCCCCCTGGTCCAAAATCCCTGCAAGAAACACAGCAACAAACCAATTAAAAGGAAATATTAGACAATAAAAAATGACCCCACTGTCTGTCTCATTACTTTATCCCAATTTCTCCCAGCACGTTTGCTATATACTCTCACTTCTTTTATTAAAAAACTTTGGGTGTGGGGCTGGAGAGATGGCTCAGAGGTTAAGAGCATTGCCTGCTCTTCCAAAGGTCCTGAGTTCAATTCCCAGCAACCACATGGTGGCTCACAACCATCTGTAATGAGGTCTGGTGCCCTCTTCTGGCCTGCAGATATACACACAGACAGAATATTGTATACATAATAAATAAATAAATATTAAAAAAAAAAACTTTGGGGTGTTTTATTTATATATACGTGAGCCTGTGTGAGTACACACAGCAATTGTGCATGCAAGAGCCCTCAGAGGCCAGAAGAGGGCATCAGATCACGAAACTAGAGTTAGAGGCAGTTGTGAGCCACCATGTGGATGCGGAGAACTGAACCCAGGTCCTTAAGTATCTTAACTGATGAATCCTCTCTCCATCCCCTTACACATTGTTCAAAGGGAGTCAGGACTCCAAGGAATGTCACGAGAGAAACTCAGCCCCTGTTTTAAAGATACACCCTGCAAATTCTGACCAGGCCCTGGCCTGTGTGCTGCTTACTCACCGTGAAACTTCTTGTCAAGAATCATCTGTGATAATTTTCTTTCCACGTCGGCCTAAAATCAAAGTACATGATTAAAGGGACCAATATCCATTAATCAGAGATCAGTCTGACATGAAAGTTTCACAAGAAAGAGTCTTACAAAAAAGAAAGGATTGGAGCAAAATAGCAATGAAATACTCTCCAGCTGAGCCCACATTCAGTTCCTCACAAAGAAGACACCCCTCCATATCTTTCCCCCATTCCCACCACATAACAGGCCTGAGAACTTACCTTGGAGAGTTTGATGAGACTAGATATGTGTTCAATCTAAAAGGAAAAGCAGACAGTAACATTGAAAGTTTGAATTTATCTTCAATATAAAACAGAAGGACAGAGAACTAGTGTGTCTCTTGAGCTGCTGAATCTAGAGAGCGGAAATTCTCCCTGGCCACACTTAGTGTCCTGCTCGGTCCTCTTCCTGCTCTTCACTATACAGAATACACTCCTGTTCCATGTACCAAATTCAGAAAATATTGACAATGACTACAAGAATAAGATAATCAACACGGGGAAGGGCCAGCTCATAGCCACCTACCCCACCAGCATCTTCTTTGAATCATTTTCCATCCAGACAAGTCCAAGCCCTTCGTGGCTTCTTACCAAAAGACATACACTTGAAAGTGAGTTCCTACTCTGGACAAATATGGAAAAGGAGGTGGCTACCGCTATACCATCTAACCCAAAACTGTTAAGAAAGTTCCCAGGAAGATTCTTACCTGTACTCGGGAAAAAGGTTCAATGACCCGGATCAGATTCTGTTCCAGTAAGTTATCATACAACTTGGCCAAATGTGTGCTGATGATTGGGTCATCCCGGAGCTCTGCCCGGTAGTCTGTCAGGGCCTGCCAAATAAAGCTCATACCAGAGACTGGCACAACACATTAAAGTCACTACTCCTAGCTTCCTGAAGTCTTCTGGCTCTGGTGATTATATAATACACACACACACACACACACACACACACACACACGTACACAATCTGAAGAGTATCAAGAACTAAAGCATAAAGCTACCACCTTTCCTGTCCTAAAATTTAACCCTGCAAGCCGAGACACTCTACTTAGAGGTCAAGTAAACTGTACACATATTTTTCAGCATATATTTCAAAGAACTCTGAGATAAATAATGAAAAATTACTACACAACTAGCTCCTAGGAGCTTTGTGAGAATAGTGCAACATGGCTCTGCAGGCAAAGAAAGCAAAATGCTTTTCTAATTCTGCTTTGCCTTAATGTTTTCTAAGTATCTGATCACAGAAGAACCATGAATAAAAGTGTCCCATCAAATTTTATGGCAAGGGGCTGGAGAGATGGCTCAGAGGTTAAGGACACTGACTGTTCTTCCAGGGGTCCTGAGTTCAATTCCCAGCAACCATATGGTGGCTCACAACCATCTAAAATGAGATCTGGTGCCCTCTTCTGGCATGCAGGCATACATGGCGGCAGAACACTGTATTGTATATGTAATAAAATCTTTATTAAAAAAAAATTTATGGCAAATGTATAGGCTGTTTTACTGTAACTGATCCATTTATCTTTAGTAATGGGTTCGGTGTCCAGCCTCACATTACTCTGCTCTAAGGTACTATAAAGGAAGTAGATAATCATACTAACTAGGAATAGGCAGGCGACTACAAAGTAATGACTGACATAGGAGGTCTAAGCCATGTGATGTGGCCCTTATCTTCAAACACGCTGTTTTTGTTTTTTAGATTTTGTTTCCGTTTGGTGGATTGATTTTTTTTTTTTTTTTTTGCTGTACTAATTATGAGTACTTTATTAAATCTCACTCAGACAATATGCAGTCATAGCTGGTTTGGAACTCTGTGTAAACCAAGCTGACCTCAAACTCCAAGAGTCCCTCCTGCCTCTGATTACCAAGTACTGGGATTAAAGGCATGCACTACCACCAGCCAGCCTAGGTCTGGCTTTTAAGTTGATTACTAAACTCAGACCAAGAACACCAGTTTAGAAAAGAATAGACAAGACTCGTCCTAAAGCTAAAAATGTGTTTCTCCCATTTTTAATCTTCTCAATGAGCAAAAGAAAGCTTGTGGCATCATCACGAAGAAGGGTCTTATCTCTCTTAGAGCTAGGCAAAGTAGTTCACACTTGTAATCCCACTACTTGGGACAGGAGTTCAAGGTCAGTGTGGGCTACATAGCAAGACCGTATCTCAAAAAAATAAACCAAGTGCCAGGCATACTGCCTTCAATCTAAGTATTCCAGAGGCAGAGGGAAGCGGATCTCTATGAGTTCAAGGCCAGCCTAGTCTACAAAGTGAGTTCCAGGACACCAGGGCTATTACAGAGAAACTGGCCCACCAAAAAAAAAAAAAAATGAATGAATAGAGGGAGGGAAGGAGAGAGGGAGGAAAGGAAAGGAAAAAAATAAAAGGAAAGAAAGGAAGGAAGGAAGGAAGGAAGGAAGGAAGGAAGGAAGGAAGGAAGGAA